CCTCTATCTTGCCTGTATTTCCTTAGCCGTAGTGTGTAGCTAAGTCATATCCTCTCCAATGCTCTCCTATGTCCTCCTTTTGAAGATCCGTCCACCCAATCTGTTGTGATGCCTCTGCCCTCCGCGGTGGAAACCCGCATCGAACATGGCCAGTGAAAACTACACGCGGGTCACTGAGTTCATTTTCAGAGGTTTGACTTACAACCCCCGCCTGCAGGTGCTTCTCTTCCTGTTCCTTCTGAGTTTCTACGTCATCAACCTAACTGGAAACTTGGGGATGGTTGCTCTGATACAGATCGATGCCCGCCTTCACACTCCCATGTACTTTTTCCTCAGCCACCTGTCCTTTGTGGACATCTGCTTCTCCTCAGCCATGAGCCCCAAGATGCTCGCCGACTTCTTTGCGAAGAGGAAAGCCATCTCCTTCCTGGGCTGTGCTTTGCAGCAGTGGTTCTTTGGGTTCTTTGTGGCGGCAGAGTGTTTTCTCCTGGCATCCATGGCCTATGACCGCTATGTCGCCATCTGCAACCCATTATTGTATTCAGTTGCCATGTCCCGGAGACTCTGTATCCAGCTGGTGGCTGGTCCCTATGCCATCGGGTTCGTGAATACCATGACGCACACAACAAATGCATTTCGCCTCCCTTTTTGTGGCCCTAATGTCATCAATCATTTCTTCTGTGATATGTCCCCTCTGCTTTCCCTCGTGTGCACTGACACCAGGCTCAACAAGTTAGTCGTCTTTGTGGTGGCGGGAGCTGTGGGAGTCTTCAGCGGCCTGACCATCCTGGTCTCCTACATCTGCATCCTCATCGCCATCCTGAAGATCCGCTCTGCTGAGGGGAGACACAAAGCATTTTCCACCTGCCCGTCTCACCTGACGGCCGTCTCCATCCTGTATGGTACTCTCTTCTTCATTTATGTGCGGCCTAGTGCAAGTTTCTCCCTGGATCTCAATAAAGTGGTGTCGGTGTTTTACACCTCAGTCATCCCCATGTTGAACCCACTTATCTACAGCTTGAGGAACAAGGAGGTCAAAGATGCCATCCACAGGATGGTCACAAAGAGGAAGTTCTGGAGGGCCTAGATTCCTATCTCCAAAGGACACTGGGGGAGGAATCAAAGAGAACAGACCAATTGTGTAGATTCCTAAGATTCCAGGCCACCTGAGAGTGTTTGGGGGCTTGGTGGCACCCCTTTAACCATTCATCCATCCAATTACTCATTCATCTAGTCACCGATGTGGATTCATTAAGCCCTGCATGTGGTCTTTTATTACCGTTCAAACCCACACTCCACTTAATTTTGTTTCTCTCAGACACCTCACAGTCCAGTTATTTTCCAAATGATGTTATTATTTAATATCAGTTACTAATTGTTTAAATCATTCTGCTAATACATTTTCTTTTTCTGCTGACTCCTTGGCAAAAATTCCAATTCCCAAAAATGGGAAGTTAAAAATTTTTGTGCTGGGTTTTACACGCACATCTAGCTCCCATCAATAGGCAACAAAATGATATGGGGATTATGTCTAACCTCCTAAATGGAATGAAGCTCTTGGCTGTGCACACCAGTTCTGGGGATGGCCTTGACACAGGGACTGTGTGTGTGTCAGGGACTGTGATGGACCTGTGTTCAACTCTGAGAGATGGGCACTGTTTACACTAATAAAGGTCCTAGGGTTTATCTCTGATGCATTTCACACCTGAAAGAGCTTCTGACCTAATGAGGTAAGACAATATTTTCTCAGGATTCAGTTTTCTGGTAGACGTTTAGAGGATTAACTAAACGTCTCTGGTTTGGGGCTTGGTTGTACATAGGACAGCGCCTTCTAAACCCTGACAATGAAGTCCTTCCCCAGTCAGGACTGCACAGGGAAATGCCGTGGTTGGAGGTGGGTCACAGTCTAGATCTACCTGTTTTTAGTAAGGTCAGTACATTTGTAGCATCATGAGGAAGTACATCCATGCAGCTCAGTTGGATGGTTTTGACTCCTGTGCATGTTGAGTGCTGGGCAGCCTTCAGGTCTGAGTACAGTGACGGACCACCACTGAATGGGGAGAGCGGTCACCCCTGCCAGGGTCTTCCCATCCTCTTAGAGACCCAGGAAGGGTGCCCACTTCTATCTTACCTCTCTTGGTCTGGCTGTGGCTTTTCCCTTTGGAATGAAGAGACTAAAAAAAAAAAAAGAGTGTTTCACTGAGGAAATGGATCAGCATTTGTAGATGGCATTACAATGTCATGGCAATAGAAATGCCCTCAGGGTTTATAGGATAGCAGGTCTAAGATGTGCTAATGTTCACCACCCTTTTGGTGTATCAGTCAAGCCCATAACAAGATAAATGGAAGCAGTGATAGTGGCTACCTTATCATAAGACCTCTGTAAAGATTAAACTAGAGAAGGCATGTGGAATTACTTCATAAACTGTAAACGTATCTTGCTGCCTCTTAATAAAACCTGTTCAGTGAATGACCCTACCCTGGGACTGGCTGGGCTGGCCCCACTTACCAGTGAGCCTGCTCTAGCCAGGGCCCAGCTTCACCCACCAGTGGGCAGACATCAGCTGTGAGAAAACTGTAGCTTCATAGCCTTTGGACCCAGCCCACCCATTAGCAAGCCAGACCTTGCCCAGGGACCAGCGGGGCCCTGATCCCACCCACTAGAAGGCTAACACAAGCTTCAAGACACTTGGACCCCTGCAGACAACTGTGTAAGGAACCGACCCCACCCGCCAGGGATCCAAAACCAGCTCTGGGACCTCTGGGCCCTGCAACCAGAGCCCAAGACCCAGCTCTGCCCCCCAGTAGGCTGCCATGAGCCCAGGACTACCAGTGGGTGAGCAACAGCCCTGGGGTCTCCTGGACTCTGACTCCACCCACCAGTACCCCATCACTAGCCCCGGGGCCCCCAAGGATTCGACAGTCAACCACCTCCTGACCGTGTTCCATCTGCCAGTGATTTGGTAACTAACCGGACTGGGGGTCAACCAAGCCCACCAGGCTGCCCAGGCCGTCAGCCCACCACAACAGACAGACCCTCACAGCCCTCGTGGGGGGTACCCCTAGGGCACAGAGCCCTGGGAATGAGAGGGGTGTGCTCTGCAGGCACACACATGGGACAAGCTCCTACAAATGGCAACTTCTCCAAAGTTGGGAAAAGTAACCAACCTACCAGGTACATAAAAATAAATACAACAACTTAGGCAAAAACCAC